CCTCCACTAACGCGCTCTTTCCATTACTTTACTAGCACCAGTATTCAACGATTAGAATTCGCCATGTTTTTTCGATGTTTTTTTCAAGATCGTTATTTACATAATTACAAGTTGTAAGTTGTAAATGTGCGGCTGCATGTGCAATTCAGGTCATCAGACATTGCAGTTTGCCGCTACTGAAGTGGGCGTGGTCACGCTTCATAATGGACAAGGCGCGCTGGCGACCTCGTGGCTCGATCCAGACATTCTTCTTGTGATTTGGTGTGCTACTCCTACGACTACACCTGCTTAGACATCAGACATCATCGTGACCGGTGTGGTTCTACGGGCGAGGGACCATCACCTCGACTTTAGTCTACCTCAGCTCTAATTGTCGTCAGAGTAATTATGGCGACATGCTTCTGTTAACGCTTTTACAACTCAGTTCTGCTGGTCAAGTACCAGTACCGCCGATATTCACACCATGCACATTTCCTTCACCAGTATACGATACCCATGAGGTTGGTTTTTCGGGTTTACGTGATTGACTCGCTTCTTTCTGATTCATGTTTAAGGGAAAATCGTGGCTGATATGTCCTGTCTCAGGGTTTGACTCATTAAAAATGCATAGAATGAGCCGACAAATGCGAACGGGGGGAATTGGTTTACTGGTCGGGGAATCTGAACGAGATTGAATTACTCGTCAGCATGGTAGCTGTAACCTACTGTCGATTATGAGGACATTCATTGTTGACACTATTCTCAATGCTGGAAGATTCGCCTTGTCTTACAATTGACCTTTTTGAAGCGAAGAAACTTGCCCTTATGGGAATGCAGTGGGCGACTCATCAACGAGTCCCTTAGCTCTCAAAACTAAAACTCTTCAAAAAAGTACTTCGGGTTTTTTTTTCCTGCAGTCTTTCCGTCATCCACTACACCATCCATTATTTCTAATCCGTCTGAGAATTATTCATGGCTTTCCTATTCGGGAGAACCTTCAACTTTTGCTCCAAAGTGACGTGACATAATCAGCCGGAATTTCGGGGAAATCGAAAAAAATGGGAAAAGACCAGCCGATTTTACATCGCGTCCGGATCTGATGGAATTTAAACACTACTTCTAATCTACTGGGAAGTAGTTCATGGATTTCTTACTCGGGAAAACCTTCTTTTTCTTCAGAATTTATTTTCGAAATGACGTGATATAATCGGCTAGAATTTTTGGGGAAGGTCAAAAAAAAGGTGAAAAGGAAAAGAAAATTAATTTTAAGCCGCTGGATAATATTTATTTCACACCTTTCTTATTCCAGGAAACTCGAAAGGTCGAAAAAAAAGCGGAAAAGGTCACCGGCTTTTATACGACGCTCGAATCTCAAAAATGAATGTTACTGGATAAATATGCAATTTTTTCATAAAGCGGGGAAACAAGTAACTAATTAGAACTTTTCGCCGTCACGTAGTAGATGTAATAGCTCGAAAAATAGGTTTCTTCTAATGTTATTGGGTAATGTAGAGTATAACTGAATTTGCTCTTTAATGTCTAGTTTACTCCCCTGCTTTTTGCTTACTGGTTAAGAAAAACTTTCTCGGACTGTTCATAAGGTGTGATCCAGCTCTTATTGGTCCGAGGATTCCCACCAGACCACATCGTACGTTGGGGAATTCCTGGCGGAGGGGCCGTATTTGGTCGCTGGGGGGGGGTCGTACTTGGCTTGAGAAAACACGGACGCTATAATGGCGCGTGTCACATGTGCTATATACCCCTCCCTAGTTGGTGACTTCGCCAGAGTTCTATGCATTTACTACTTCTGATAGCTGAAACTAGTAGTTAATTGCTGACGACCTACTCCCTTTCCCCCCCCCCCCTCAGCTTGACAATAGCATTCAAGGTGAGATTTTTGGAGAAGTCCAGAAGAAAGGGAAAAGTGGAGGATGTTGGGAAATGGTAGATAGGATGGGGAAAAGGGGGATCCCTATTAGAGGATGGAAACAAGAAGGGGGGGTTGTATCCCGCTAAAATTGTCCCCAGCGGCAGGACGTACCCTGATTCCCCCTAGAGAGCCTTTATAGCCTTTCGAGAAAACACTTCATCAGAGCATTGCCGACGTTTCCCAATCAAATTGTACTTCTCGCCTGCACACAAATCCTCTCATAAACGATAGCATTTCCTTCATATCTACTCTGTTTTGAACCAGTTTTCCTTTCAATTGGAAAAAGTAATTTTTTTATGACCGGGTCGGGGACAATCATCAGCGTCATGAGTGCCTGCGACTGGACCAGAATTGATTGTTTTCAAGAGTGTTTCTCATTCTAAGGGTTTGTCGTCTCAGAATGTTCATTGTGGTAAGCCGCAAGGGGATTTTAAAAGATGCCCTCGACGGCATAATTCCAGATGGAATTCGTCGAAAATCGTCTATGGATGACGCACGAAGATTTAAAGATGGGATGAATTGTCTGGGATTATTAATTCTGAAGTACTTTATTGTCTGGGTAGAAGAAAGTCTTTCTGATTTCACGCTTTTTACACCAATAAACTCGAATGATCTATAGGCCCAAATGGTGCGAGAATGACGCGAAATAGAGCCTCGACTAATGCCCAAAACTAAAAATCTGGCGTCATTCCTTGACAACGGGGTTTTTCCGATTGATTCAATAAGCCAGTTTTGGGCTAATTGTGGTGGAGCTTACATGACATCATCTTTGAGGGTTTTTCATCATGAACCCTTATGAGACTTCACTAACCGGTTTCTTCTCTTATTACTTACTCGGTACTATTATAGCATCGCTTAACCTGCACAACGATATCGCGACTTCCGTTTATCTGTGATCTTCATCATCAGCTTTCACATGCCAATCTGGCCGGTATAGAAACAGCTTATAAGAGGCCAGTGAATGAAGGAATTTCCATTTAGTGAACAGAAATCTAACAAATATTTTTTTCCGATCTAACCTTATTTTTATCAGAATAATCGATCAACCTTGGCTGTACTGATAGGTATTTTTGGTCAAATACCTTCTGATAGATGAAAAGTACTGGTTTTCAACTTTCCAGTTCGCCAGCTAGAGGCACCCACCTCAGCGGCGTCGGTCTACGAAGAGCCGTCATATTCGTGTCTTTTTGAAAACGAATGTAATGTAGTGGATGCGGAAGTTGTGCTTGGATTTGTGAATAATGTCAAAATATTCATTAAGGTATGTACTCTTTACGGAAGTAATAGTTCATTCAGGTGAAGCTGAACTCGTTTACGGCCACGTGCCCACGGTGTTTGCTCTTGTCTGTGGGGTGACTTTGCGTTTCCCGTGGCGCTTTTTTTCCCAGGGGTAATAGAGCCGCACGAAACCAACAGCATTATAGCCATTGGCTCTTTCGTGTAGTATACGTTGCAATGAGAAACTATAAAAGAGGAAGAATAAGCGTTCGCGGCGTCTTGCTCTTTCAAGGAGTTTATGACTGACTGCAATGCCCCTGAGATGTTGGAGAACTTGACAGTTTCACAAATTGCTTTCACGACGTCGGGTTGAAACTGAAGCCAAAACCAAAGCGAATAGTTGTCGAGTCAAACGACTTTCTCGTCTTTCAAACACATGAATAATGCCCTTGGAAATGTGCAATGCAGCTCAAGTGCTCCATATGTAAATACCCTGATCCTTGAGAATTTCAGCTTTCCACACTAAATGTCCGTTTCGTGAGAAAAGGGCTCAGCACCCCAACGGGGAATTTCTCAAAACTGCGAAGGATTGCGGATTAAAAAAGGGTAAAATAGAGTAACCCTTTTTAGCGCATCTGAGGCGGTAAAAAAATTTGCGTCCTCCTGAATGCCACCCCCTCCAAAAACTAAACTACGATTTGAGCGCTTTCAACTTCGAACTCAGCTGCTCAACGGCAAGCGGCACGATATCCCCAATCTTGGATTAATATGTATGCCTAGCAGGACAGTGGGCGCCTCTGAGCAGGCGCTACGTGGCGTTTTTTCCAAAAAAGATACCCCTGTAGCGCCCTATGAAGCTGTAGCATGCCGAGCCAGACGCTTACCACGCTTGCCCGCCCACAAATGTCCGACCAGTGCTGTATCGCTGTATTGTATCGCTTCATTTTCTATGTACAATATGAAGCAAAGAGTCTTATATGAAGCGGCTGCGGTGCTGCATGGATATACGAGTACATACATGCAGCCGTATCTACCGTAGCCGTTAATGGCACGCCAAACGCCAATAGAAAACTTGTCCGAAATTGCTTTCTGAAATGTGTCGAACAAAGGCTTTTTTGCGGGTTTTTGACTGTTTCACTTTGCTTTTTCGCCACATCTCCACTATAAAGCACCCTCCCCCTACCAACTTTGACCGAGTGCCAAATTATTGTGCCTTAACTTTGAGGCCTAAAGCCATCGCAGGAATGCTGAGCTATTGGCAAAAATCTGGACGCAGCCGGGGCTAAACCCGCATCTCACGCTTGCCATGAGCCACCAGAGCCTTATCCCTAATAAATGAAGTACGGTAGTGTTGTGCTTCACAGATCTAACAATCACTGCGAGCTCCCTTGCCACTGAACTGAGCTTTTTCAACAACGCTAATCGTGCTTTTACTGCTTTTACTTTTACTTCTTGTTTGCGGATATTTGTGTACTTCTTATAGTTACTGAAGGTTTTTCACATATTTTACAACCATTTACTAGCTATCTATTTGAAATTTTGTTTTTCCGCTCTATTGATTGCGACGGAAAGCCTTGGTAAGTTGGTTTTCATGCGTTTGGGCTTCTGCTAATGAAACGGCCGGCTTCTTTTGACCAGTGTAATTCCTCGATTACGTGCATTCATGCCAGTATTGGGCTTTTTTTTCTACTCGCGAACAAATCATTCATAGTTTTATGGCATTTCTTGGACGTTTCACAAAGCTGTGTGTACGTTAGGAACCATTACTGAAAAAACTATTTCGTTTACATTTCGTAGCCTTCTGGATATGATTTATAGACCAGCGCAGGCTGGACCGTTGCCATGGACTCTAAAAATTAATATTGCTGTCTTATCCTCTCTAGACTTCTCTAATTACCTCTCTTACTCATCGTTCTTCCTCGATCGCACCCTTCTAAATTGTTCACACATACAGTAATTATCCCTGCGAACTTCAGGGCATGTAAGGAGACGTGGGTTGGCGCACAGCTAAGACAGGCTTTTGACCAGTAGATGTCGTCTTGAGCAGGATACGATCGAAGGAAAAGGCTGCCATAGCTGCGCTCCAGTCCACCCCCTTTCACACTCCTTCACATTTGCAGGGATAGTAGCTGTATAGTACCGAATAAACTCGTACAAGTCCAGAAGTGACATTCTAGTCGTTCCAGTGTTTAACCCTCCACGATTGTTGTCCCTTCCTGAGCATAATTACTCAGGACATCATCATTCTGTAAAGGAATCAGACAAATTGGCGCTGTTCGGCTTGGAGGGGACATGGTACTCAGCGGAGCTTACAGGGCAGCTCGTGGAAATCTGTAAAACTGTTCCCGTAATCAGTGTTTTCACTTCTGCCATTAAGATTCTTCGCAGAGTTTTACGGGTTTTACCAAAGTGAGACATGTTAGGTAACTGTTAACTTTCTAGTATCTCATGAAATCTCAAGAAAACGGTAGTTTTCGCCAGCGAAAAGGCTCGTTCTTCGTGTTTGAAACCTGATAACATTCAAATATAACAAATGAAGCCTGACGAAGTGGAATACCACCAGGAATAAGTGAAAATTCTCGGGGTCGTCGTGACGCCCGCCGATAAGTCCGCAACTACGACCCCTCCGACCGTTGGATTCGAAGAGTATGTACTAGCGAGGGGAATCAGTAAAAGTATACAATTTCCCCCGCCCCTCCGAAGCTGAGTAATGCCCAAAGCCCAAACATTTTCTTTGCTCTTCTCGGGGAGGGTTTTCCCGAGCGTTTCATGTGCAATTTCAAAAAATTTCCCGTATGCCACTTTAAAGATCATGCTACATTAGTGCGCGTCTTTCAACTATTCCGAATTTTCTGCGCTATGTATCCTGACCCCCTCTGGTACTAAACCCCCCTTGTAACCCTACTTGGCTCACTATGTAATGCACGACTACGAACGCCACACAGGAGGTTTTCAATTACGAGTCTGATCAAGTATTTATGCATGTTTGTCGTTTAACAGTGTCTGAAATTGCGCCGTGGTAATGAATAGGTATTGCTTTTCTTCAAGTATCCCACGATGCCATGTTTTGTTCCGAAAAACAGAAAAAGAGCTAAATATGTACCTTCACGGCGATCGTGCATCAATTTGCATAAAGGCTCACTTTGCGGGTGTTTGCAGGCTTCCATTTTTTCACACCCGACCTATTTTTTTCACTGGCTCAAACTAAAGTTCTATTCAAATTTCCGAGTTTTCGCGTCTAGTCTCACATTTTCGGAGGCTGACGGAGTTCATGTTTGTCAGACCGCTATCCCACGCACTCCGGCTTTTGATCCCAGCATCGCGGGAGAAACACTCCCATAGAGCAGCAGGGATTGCTCTGCACTTCCCGAAAGTATTATAAAGAGCGTTATCTTGCCAGAAAATCTCAAGAAACTACAGTGAATTGTGAGGGAGGACGATTGTCGAATACGTTTACACGCTCTAGTGCGGCACATAATTGTTTCCGATCTATCCGGAAAACCCTTTAATCATTCTTACAATACCACGTCGTATTATCTTTAACGACCGTGCAGGTAATTTACGATTTTGGTCGTTCGTTGAATTGCAAATACTCATGAACGTAATTAAAATACAATTGATGATACAGGAATCCATTGAAACTTTGCCGTTGGAATTGATGGAACATTAATTACCGGGAGAACATATGTCGTCATTCATCCCGGAACAATTCTGATGGGATAAATAAATGTAAACTAGGCCAATTTCATCGAAGAGTAGGCAAACCCCGTTCGTTTCAGATCCCATCCTGGGCCAGGGCTTACGTTCCCGGGAAATCCCCAAAATTCTATTATAAGGCGGACTTGGGTTCGTTTCAGAAGACATTGTACCCACTAGAATAGGGGCTGTTGATTTGCTGAAAAGCCAACTTATTCTTATAAATCTGCTCAGGGCAATGCCAGTACTAGATGGCTTGCCGTTCAGTGCCGTCCTAAGTGCTCCCAAAGGCGGCCCCAACTGAGAGCCCTGCACAATGCCAGTGACCCTCTCTCTTTTTCGAGCAGGGCAGAAATTCGGAGAAAAAGCACAACGGCAAAGGCGGTGTTCGTTGGAAACCTAGCTGCAGCTCTTTCCCAGCAATAGAAATTTTCTTACAGCAGTACCGAAAAAAGACTCATGGAGGGGTCAACGAACGCTCAACGTGGAAGAGAGCTATTTTATTGCGATTTCCGGAGCTGATTCATAGTTTGGCCAGAGCTAGTTCTCACGATTTCGGGACAAAATACATTTAACCATACAATTATCCATAAAACTTATTAGAAAACATATGACATCATCTATTCCAGAAGAACTCTGGGGTAGAAATATATTTAAACTAGGCCATTTTTATGAAAGGGTACGGAAAGTTCGCTCATTTCAGATTTCACCAAAGGGCTCACATTTCTCAGAAGTCCCAAAATTCAATTATAAAGCGGGCTTAGGTTCGTGTTTGAAGAACTCGCACCAGCGACAAGAGGAACACTTGATTTCTTGGAACGCTAGGTTATCCTTGTGATCTGCTCAGGCTCACAATAGTGTTACTACCGAAGTGTTGGTCATTTAAGGTCTAAGTGCTCTCAATAAGGTGCCCTGAAATAAATTGATTAAATGATCGATTGCGAGCCCTGTACATTGCCGTGACTCGCGTTTTCTTTTGAGTGGGGAGATCATCGGAGAAAAGGCGACGGATTTTCGTTTAGGATCTACAGTGCGTAACAAAAGTATGTGGACACCCCAAATTTTGATTTTGCGAAACTGCCTTTGGATATTGCGATCTGAGACCATCACTGTTAAATTCCTCATAAGCGAAAGTATAGGAATGCACTACCTACGAGCACATTGTGAACTACTGAGCAATGATTTATTGTTTTGAAAAAATTTCTTAATAACAAAAGTATGTGGACACTTAACAAAAAACAAAAGTATCATGGAAATTAAAACTTGGTGCTCCCTCCCGCGTTCACTATTACTTCGAACATTCTGTCTGGCATGCTGTGGACAAGATTTGTGATAGTGTCTTCGTCGATTTAATCCCATGCAGCCACTACCGCCTCCTTGAGGTCT